ATTTATTTATTTATTTATTTATTTTTAGAAACTCAGTTAACCACAAGTAAACCTGCTTTCTGAGCCAGGTGCTTATATTCCTTACTTTTGTGATATTAAGCAGCTTGAATAAAGCAGTCCTGGTAACATGTTTAATAACTTGAGGGTTAAATGATGCACGCTGATCAAAAATAACACCAGCTTTTATTTATCTATTTTGTTTTTTTCAATAGAACTGGAGGCCAAATTAATGGCACTTAGAGGAAGTGAAAGTCTGCTGTATCTGGTCCGAAAATACATTAACGTCTGTCTTGTTTATTCACCAAAAGTGTTTTTTGTCTGTAAGATTCTCACTGGAAATGTTCTGTTCAACAAAGTGAAAAAAAAGGTGAGTGATCCAGTTTGTATGCAGGTTTTTACAGTCTGTTGCTGAAAAATGACATGTCATCTGGAAATGAAAGTAAGAAATAAAGTTGAGGAAATAAAAAGATCAGTAAAGATGAAGATTAAAGGTTCTTTTTGCTCTAAATACAGTTTCATGTAAAGATTCGTTTTAACATATTTGAACAAGTATAAAGTTCTGACTTTAAGGCCGCAGTTTAAACGATACAAAGTGGTTCGAATAGAAACCACAGACTATTTTCAGTGGTACAGTCTGAGCAGATTAGTTTTCTCTCTTCCTCTTTGAAAGCCACAGTGAAGACGGTTTTGTGTTTTTAGAAAGCTTTCAAAACTTTTTTTTTTTTATTGAAGAGGAAGTGACTGTTTAGAGAACACATCTGGTTCTTTATTTATTACATGGTGTTATTCAGATTAATCTTATCAATATAGATTCTTCANATGAAGTATGTTTTATCTGAGACAGTTTGAATGATAAATAATATCTAATACTTGCTAACTAAGAGTTAGACATTTGCACAAAGGCTGTCACTTTAAATGTAGTTGTTTTTACTCATAATTTAAAGCCAGTGGTGTGCACCAGTCCGCTAANTGTAATTTATTACGTGTTTTCTCATTGTAAAGCACTTGAACACAAACACACATATGGCTAAAAATGAAATAAATCAAAAAAATGTAGTAAATCACACACAAAACAAACACTCACACACAAAGATATGGCCTTGGCGGAGGTTTGCGCTCTCAGAGTGATTCTAATTTCTTATCTGATTTCTCTAAAATATGTCTTAAATTAAAGCTGAGGAAAAATGCTGATGTTGTGATCTGTAAAAACATGTATTCTAAAAGCAGTCTGGTAACTTTCATTATAGATTTTTGCTAGTGCTTTTACTGTACAAGCC